TGTATAAGAAGTGCACGTTGCATTTGTCTTAGAGGAGAATGGTGGCGTGGCCTGTTAGTCAGAGGTTGCTCTTCACCGCTCTAAACCTCCTCCTGCCTACAAAACCAAGTGAAGCCAACTTTCTAAGAACAGGAAAAACCCAGTGAAAACTGTAGTAAGCAGCTTTCTGGTATTCTGATTCAAATGACAAAGCCAAGGATGAATTATGATCTGGTAAAAAATGAAAAGGAACAAATCGGTTTGGTTTTTGTTTCTTTACTCACCAGACAACCCCAAAGGCTCCATATCCAATAGGTCTGTCCGGCTCAATGTCCAGTTGCTGCTGTGGATGTTGTGAGTGCTGATGATGGTGCGCTTTAACTGCAGCGGCTGCTGCAGCTTGTACCTGAGCTGGGGCTGCTGCAGCTGGTCCAGGGGCCTGGCCCGGTGCCGGGGATGGGAAATACGGCTGCTGCTGCCCCGGGTTTAACATCGCCGCCGCTGCAGCCGCAGCCGCCGCGGCCGCAGCCGCCGAAGAGGCATGCTGCTGCACGGGATGGACCGCAGCTGCAGAGCCGGGGTGCAAGTGATGCTGAGGGTGGTGGTGGTGATGGAGGTGAGGAGGAGGGAGGTGAGGAAGGTGGTGGTGATGGTGGTGGTGGTGACCTGCTGCCGCCGCAGACGTACCGCCATTGTAAGCCGCCATCATTTTTGCGTTGGCTGTTGTGCCACAAAGAGACATTCAAAAAAATGCCCTTTGATTGGATAACAACTGGGTCAAGCTGTCATTTGGCCACAAAAATGAAATCTGCTACACTTTAAAAGACGTTGGGTTTCATCATACACGGCCCACCTTTAAAAACATTGAGCTCGACCGGCCTTATCTCTTCGTGAAGCCAAACAACTTGGAGACTCTCTTCATGTGTGCGTGAGCCAGCGTGCACGAACCCTCTTCCCCCAAGAGTCCAGCTGTGGTTGGCTACTGAAACTCCATCCTCGGGCCACTGGGTTGGGTTGGGTTTGGTTCTGTCCTTCACTTGGTTGTTTGTTTGTTAATGAAACAGAACTGGGGTGCTCAATCCCCCTTCCCCGCAGGAGGAGGGTGCCGAGTCTCTCCCCTGGAACACCCTGAGAGCACTGGCGACTTTACCCCTTCCATTCCCACATCCTCTCCACTTATCGCCTCGGAACCTCCCTGAGCGCCCAGGCACCTCCTACATAGCTCCCTCCTTCAGACACCTGCTCCCTCGAACAGAGAGAAAGAATAAAATAAATCAAACAACTCGGGACTCTGCAACTTTTCCTGGAAGGCCCGAAACAAGCACGGGCGCCCAGGAGAAGTGGTGAGGGGCGAGGAGGGGAGGGCGCGGGGGAGGGCGGGAGGGCAGCGGGCTGGGAAGCCGATAAAAATAGAGGGTGAGGAGAAGGGCCGGGGCAGGGCGGGGAGGGGGCGGGTGACAAATGGATGACAGGGGAGGGCCGGGGGGCGATGGGGGCGGCGGCGGAGCCCTGACAGCCCGACCCGGGGCCGGCGGCGGGCAGCGCCTCAGCGGGGAGCGCGGGCGGCTGCGGGCCCCCCCCCCGACCTCGGCGGGGAGGGCGCGGGGCAGCGGGCGAGGGGAGGAAGAGGAGGAAAGGGGGGGGGGGGGGGTGTCTCCGGTGCGTGCGTGCGGCAGCAGCGGTGGGGGGCGGCGGGCGCGCTGCCGGGCTCTCCTCAGGCCGCTCCGCCCCCCCGCCGCCGCCTCGCCCGCCGCCGGCACTCACCTCCTCACGGAGCCAATGGGAGGCGGAGCGGGAGCCGGGCGGGTCCCTGTGCCCGTCCGCCGGCGTGGCGAACCCACTGCCCTGAGCCCGCCCGGGGCCGAGCGCGGGAGGAGGGTGCTCGGCTTCCTGAGGTGGAGGTTTCCCTCTCAGCCCCGCTCTGCAGAGGAAGGTGATTGCTGGAGCTGCCCTCGCCACAGGAGCCTGCCTAGCTCGGCTAAAGGAAGGCGAATGTGCTTGGAGGCGGGGGGTGGCCTCCAAGTGTTTGGGGGGGGGGGTGTTGGTTGCTGTTTTGGGGGATTTTCCCTTCAATGTGAAGAGAGAAAGGTAAACCTCGAAGTGTTTACCTGGAAGCACCTTGGGTCTGGAGGAAGCTGAGGGCCTGAGCCGTGTCCGTGGGCTCTAGCACCAGCAAAAAGAGGTTTAAACCTTTGTAGCATGTAGCCAGCAGTAGGTTCTACGGCCAGGTCTCCTCTAAAACTGCTTCTCGAAGGCTATTGTGGCATGCTCAGGGCACACTTAAACCGAAACTCTTAAGTGCTGAGTGCACCTTAACCCAGGGCCAGAGTGGTTTTTGTTGATTTAGTTCACTCGCACCATTAATCTGCATGCTTGGGGAACACGGTGTGGCTTCTCAAAGGGTAAGTGTTCCCTAAAACATAGAGATTAATAAAAATCTGACAGGTTTAACACTTTTCCATTTCCTTGTGTGAGCATTAATCCTATCTGATTAATAGTTTTATTTCAGAAGAGAACCTCGCAGTTTTTAGAGCCTTGCCTGTGATGGTGATAGAGTTAACTGTGATGGGGATAAAGAGGCGCCTGCTTACGCTTAAACTGGCTGAGCAGTTCCAAAGGAAATCAATGGCAGACAGGGAATGCGGACGTGCCCCTGCCATGAGTGAGGAGACAGCCTTTGCGTCCCTGTCTGAAAGGGGGGGACAAGACAAGCACAAGTCTAAGTGCAGCGGCGTTGGTGAGGTTTTCCCAGCACCACTGCTGTGATCTGCCTTTGTGTGTGTGTCTCTGAGCATCATTGGCCCCCTATACCACATGGGGCAAAGGAGGCTCCAAGTGTGAACGCCTGTTGCAATTCCTACAACCTGTGTGCAAAATCATTCTTAAGAATGGGGTTTGGGTACTTGTCTGCTCTTTGGTAATGTAAATGAGAAGTCTTGTGGGGATTAAGTCAAGCTTCTGTGTTAAAACAGTTTCTGTTGCATTTCTATGGGGTTTTAGCTAATATTCTGGTCTGGAATTATAGCAGAGTTTTGCTATCATGTCACAGTTCAAAGAACAGTGACTGCTTAGAAAAGGTAAAGAAGAGTAAATGTGGTGCAGCCATTTTATAATGTGTATTGGACGAGGAGACAGAACACTTCTTAGAACTTGTGTTTCTAGCTGCCTGTCTGAAGTTGTTACTGCAGATGATAAACTGCTGATATGAATATGGTGTGCACTGAGGATCCTTTTGGACTCTTGTTTCGCATCAAGCCCTGGAGAATGGAGGACAATGTGGAGTGGGGGACAATGGAAGGAAGTGGATACAAAGTAGGCTGGGTAGGCCTGGCCATAGAGAAGGGCTGTGGGGACTGGAAGGCTTTTAACTTTCCCATGCACTTTCATTATGGATTTGTTTCTTTCTCTGTTATTGCAAAATCTTCCCAAGTAGTAAAATCAAGTAATTGCCTAATAATCATTGTATGGAAACTTGGGTTCTACGTGTGTTTGCAGATTGATGGCTCAGTGGCATTATTCAAGTCCAGGCAGAGTGTCTCAGTAGTATTTTTTCAATTAGGTATGTTACTGAGTTAACTGGATTGCATGTCTTTAAATTACTTCTTTTCAACAGAGTTTAATTTCCACTGGTGGACTTGCTGTGAAAGTCACCTTCAACTGCATGTTGGGGAAAAAAAGGAAGAAAGAAATTGTTTATCTTGTTCTTGCCACTGGGCTATGGTTGAATTTGTGGTTGTAAACAAAGCCTTCAGAGATAGGGGGGCAAAGTCAACTTTTTTCTAGCACAAACTGCAAGTCTTGCAGTGACTGCTTCTTTAGAAGGGTTCACAGACGTGGTTTTGGTGGCTAATTTAGGAGCCTAATCTTCTGGAAGCTCCTCATCCTTGAAGGGTAAGGAACTAATGCACTGAAGAGCAGTGTTTAGTATTAAGTAAGGTGGCTTTACCAGGTTATTTTTGCAGTGGATAGGGAGTAATTCAGACCTAGGTCTCTGGTAGCATGTTTTAAAGGTCTGTGTTTCTGAGAACCTGTTCTTTCAACTGTTGTGCTCCTGAAAAGGTGGGAATTGGACCTGCTTCTCATTTGTGTTTAAAGCAGCTGTTTACACTTCCTCATGTGCAAACCGGTTGCCAATTAACCTGAGGCAAGTACCAGCTGAAGCTCATCCTGTTTCTTTATCCTCATTCCTTTAAGGAAGGATCAACACAGTGGGGATTGTACTCACATCTTTGCCATGGCTGATGTTGCGTATGTGCAGCTTTCCACTGCAAGCATCACATGATGCATTACAGTTCTGTGAATGTTGCCTGTATTTTTATGAAAACCAGGCTTCTTTAAAAACATCATACCTCAGGTAAACTGTTGGGAAAGGTTTGTATTGTTTATTGGTGCCCATTTTCTTTATGGCTGCCATCAAAGACCAACCATCTCAAGTTTTTGGATAGAGTTTATCTTTACTAAATCTCAAAGAAGAAAGTAACCAGTTCCATCAGCTCAGACACCCTCAGGCTGACTGACACGGAGTGATCTGGGGTAACTCCTATGGCCAGTGTTTGTGAGTCAGGTTAGTTGCCCAAACCAGCACACTACATTCAGAACAAAGTGTTTCTCCTCACACACCTTTGTCTAAAAACTCTTAAGATGTCATTAGAGGTTGTTGTGTAGATGTTTTTTCATCAATGAGAGTAGAATGTGAACTGCGTTGCAGTCCTGGCATTGTCATCAATTTTCCTGACAGTTCTTGACTGGACATTGCAAACCATGTTTTCCAATTGCCATGACTGTAAAATGCAATGAAATCTGGGAGCTGCTTTAGCTTGAGTAAATGCTACAACCATATTGCCCATCTTTTATTTGTTGTTTGAAGTTAAACCAGCTCTTTCCAGTGAGGTGAAAGCCTGGTGGGATGGCAGCTGAAGGGATACGCTTATCTTGCATGGCCATATGGAGTTATGTGAGGTGGTAGTGTTGAATGACCCACCCTAACTTCCTCCTACACTGAGTTTATAAACACTTTTAATTGGTGTCCCTGGCCTCTGTCATGCTGTGAAGCTTAAGACTGTCAGTTCAGCTGTTTTTTGGGCACTTCATGCTATGAAAACTAAGGGGGACAAGATCCAGTTGGTTCATGTTGAGGTATGTTTAAGGAAAAAAATCCTTTTAAAAGAATATTAAGGAAACATGAAACTTGCAGGCAAAGCAGTCAGCTTCTAACAGACCCTTTGTTTCCTCAGTGCAGGTCTGTTCCTTAAGAGTGTTGCCTATTAGTTGTATGAATCACTCCTACTCGGAAGAGGGCTGCAGAATGAATTAGTCGTGTACTACTGTAAGTCAGTGCTTCTGTGCCATTTAGTGCCTCTGCATAAGGAGCATGAGGCTGCTGAGGGGAGCTTATTTCAGAGCTGGCTCATGTAACTTTGAGCAAGAGGAGTATGTTGTGAGTCGTTCAATGAGCTTGAGCCACTTGATGAGCGAGTTGGCAAAATCTAACCATAGTAATTTGAACTGGGCAGGTACAAACACTGCTCCAGAGCCTGCCAAAGCCCAGTCTGATTGCAGCTAATTTGTCATCCCCAGTGATGCATGGAGATATGTGATTGGTGACTATTGCTGATGAAACATGACAGATCAATTCTAATCTCTTGCTGGTGAAGACAGTTATTCATGGGGACATGCATCTGTCTCTTATGATTTTATTCACAGTAAGAGTGCTGTAAAGCAGCAGCAAGTCTGCTGTTTGAGAATGAATGCTGGTATAGCTAGATTTTTCAGGAGCCCTTTGCTAAACTCACTTAAAAAATACATCTAAAACCAAATGCTGTGCATGAGAAACAGGGCACAGGCTTGTCCCTTTATGAAAAATCTACTTAGTCAAGTTTGGTCTTTCCTGACTCGAGAGATTTATTTTCCCCTTGGATTTCTCACTTGCTTTGCAGGGGTGTAATCTTTCTGACAGCACTCTGCATAAGGGCAAGGGATGGAAGTCAATTTTTAATCACCAAGTTCTATTTCTTTGATGCTCCTCAGCAGTGTTTTAACCTTAAAATTCTCTATAGAAAATTGTATCATATTGTACAGTATCAAATGTTATGGACGAGTTCCAGACATAGGATTTGTGGGTTTTTTTCTTGTGCCACAAGAACTACCTGTGAGAACAGGACGCTGAATATTAGAATAAGTCTTTTGTTTTCATGGCTGAATATTGTGCATAAATGTCCTTCAGCCCTTAGGCATGTAGGGGGGTTGTGAGCCTTTAATGCAGAAAAAGTAACATTAAGTGGAACAAAGCATAATAAAACGCCTGTGCAGATTTGCCCCTGATCTGCACAAGGAGTACTCAAAGCTGCACTATTGATGATGTATCATGTGGGTGTTGGACAAGCCCACATGTACCTTGATATGCAACTGCAGATAGTCCTTGCTATTCTGTAGCACCCTGGTAATATTTATTTGTAAACCCTAATGCTGAAGCCCGTAAAGTGTCATAAACACAGTGTTAATGCCTGTGAATTTGAGGGGGCTTGGTTAGTCAGATAAATACCATGCTCCAAATAAACAGAATAAACATTAATGTGCACAAAGTATCACAGGATTTAAATTCCTGTTGGTGTATATTAGTCCTTTCCTTTGCAAAGAATAATTTCCCAATTTCAAAACCTTTTCTCTACAAAACTGGAAAAGAATTAATTATTCATACAATGCAGTGACGAGCAAGGGGAGAGAGTAGTTTAACTTTGGTTGTGTATAATGGTTTGTGTCTTAAAGTTGGCGAGGGGGAAATCAAGCAGTGAAGACCAGGGGATGACCCAGCAGAGCCTTTTACTCTGTCAAAAGGCACAATGACCAAGATGAGTTCTTAAAGCAGTGGTGTGGGAACGTGGCCGCTGCTTTGAAGTGCCACTAAAATGATGGAATGACTCTTTCATGAGTAGAGCTGCGGTGATACGACTGAGACACGGGGCAGGGGACAACTGGTGTAAGTGACAGATGGTGTCATCTAAGATCATGTGTGTCTCTGATGCTGGAGATCGGACTCTACAGCCGCTTATGTTGCTTCACTGGCCTGTCAGCCCTGGTTGTGCCTCTCGTGGTGTAGTTTTTGTGGTGGTCATGTCTCAGTTGACAGCTTTGCCCCAAGTTTCTTTGCTATACTGAGCATACAGATGTGGAGATCATGATTGGCGCTGGGGCTTGAATTCATCCCAAAGATGATCACCTCTGAAACACTGAACTCCATTGCCTGTAGTGCTTTCTAGCCAAGTGTTTTCTCTGGGTTTTTCTGAAGGAGCTGCTGAATTCTTTACTCACTGCAGAGGTGAAGCATGAGCTTGGCTTTAACTGCAAGTGTTCAGGTGCTTAAAGCTGGTTTATACTAATTTGCAATTTAAAGACTTCAGCCTGGTTGTTTAGTTCTTTGTGTCTCATTTTCCTTCTTGCTGCTAAACACCAGTTGCAGGAGGTAGGGGGGGTCTTTATCCCCTGTGGCTTTTTGGGGAAAGTGACAGTTCTGCAGCTCTCTCTGTTCTACATTCCTTTGCACCAGAAATGACCCTGCTGCTCTTTGTCACCAGTGCTTCCTTTTATCCCTCTCCTGGCAGCTGCTCTTGCTCCATTTTGATGTTGGAACAGCAAATGAACTCCCTCTGAAGTAAATGTCATGCCAGTAAAGACGTTGAAGCAGCAAGAAAATCATCTCTGTCTCTGAAGATTAAATTTGAGACCTTTGTGAATGAGATGTTCTTAAAATAGCTCCACAGCATGTTATCTTCTCTAGAAGGTGGAGCATTGAAAAGCCCACCACAACCCACTTGGCTTTGTGTGAGAAGGATCCCTGAATAATGTTTTTTGGAGTGGGGAGAGGAGCACATAACTTCCTCTGCCTCCAAATTAAAATAGGTACAATAATATCTGAGCACTTTGTTTCTGCTGTATCTTTCATTCAGTGCTGGGGGAGGGAGGAAGGAGGCTAAGACACCAGTACTTATGTTGCATCTTCTGGATTGTAGATTTAATTGGAATAGAAAATACTGTTGCTGTGGTGATATTTTTGGAAACAGCATCTTTCAGAGACCTGGCTTCCTGGTTGTCCCACTGTTGGCTTTTTGTTCTCATTGATTTCAGTGGCAACAAATTGAACACAGCAGTTGAGTTGATCTGAATTGATTGTGTGCTTCTCTGATTGTATGCCCCTTGCTAAGAGTTTCGCTTGCAACATCATGGCTAATGGTCATGATGATTTCTTGTCCTGCATTCAATTACATTGAAACAAAGTGCTTGCAATGATTTGCTCTGTCAAGTTAGCTGTATCTGACTCAGTATTTTATAGGTATGACTCGGTGAAGTCCTGGGCAGGAGATTAAACCTTCAGGTTGTTGAGCTTTTACAGATGATGATATATCTGTACATACAAGTTAGTTTTGTTTGCTCTAGCTTTATGACAATAATACAAAGTCCACCCTGATTCAGATTCCCATTCCCCCTTTATTTGTATAGCTGCTCAGTGCCTTTTCATCTAATGACTGATTTTGTTGAGCGTAATAGCTTATAAATCCTCTCCTGAGTGTTGTAATAGACCATGTGCATTTAGTATCAAAAAAAGAGCAATGTGCTGTGGAAACACTTAAACAACAATTTTTAAATCATGGTCTTCGCAGCAGCACATCTCTCCGTTACAGCATCCATGTTTTTCCTAATCCTGTTTTTTGACACAATAATATCCCTTCAAGGGCTTTCTTTGCCAGATCAATTCATTTCCTACTCAGAGAGCTAAAGCTTTTCAGCTGTCCATCCAAGTTATCCTTCTGGACTAAATTTCTCATCTCAAGATAACCAGCAGCAATGCTCCCCTCAGGAGGTTTGTATCAATTAGTTACACATCACTAATTCCTGTGGTGTTGGTGGACCAGTGAGTTGTGAGAAGGCTGTTGTAAACAGTTGTGGCTCTTGGGGGTTTCTTTACCTCTTTTGGTGAGGATTGTTGTTTGGTTTGACAGCTTTTACATGGCAGCCATTGAAAGCCTGCGGGTTTACACATGGGCATGAAGGATAGCTTCAGCTCCTTTTCGGATATTAATTGCCTGTGGATTCCACATTGCCCTAATGAGGGGCCATGTTATACACAGCTGAGAAAATTTATTTGGAAAATACTTCTGATGGAGAATGGCATCCAAGAGATACAGGGAGCTCAAAGCACAACAGCCATTTGTAGCTGTTGTATGTGCGTGTGCTGCCACTGCGATGGCACACTCTTAATGTATCAGTCTGAATTCCAGGCGTCCTAAAGGCTGCTGGTAACTCTTCTTTTGCCCCGTGGTCCTAATGATATTCAATGTAATTGACTGTAAAGGAAAGTGGGATGTAAATATTCTGTACATGAGACTCTGGGGTGGTGTACTAGCAGCCTGGCATTAAAGAGAAGGGGGTGCAGTCTAAAGAGAAACTGTATCTGAGATCAGTCACAATTCAGAAGCTGCTGTTGCAGGTTTCTGTGCCAATGTACATGGTGAAGGATGGCTCTCCTATTCCAACATGCACTAAGCCTTATTTTTGCAGTGTGATGCTGTGCTGCTCAGCAGATCCTAGAAGATCCACACAGCATCGTAGGCTTCACATCTACCTCATGGAGGCTGTTCTGATAAGTAGCTGGACATTACTTAGGTTCCTGTTGTTTAGTAGAGGACTTGGATGTTATTAGTCAAGTGCTTGCAGTTGTGTTTTATACTCTAGCCACAGCACTGGCACTACTCAATCCCTGGTGTGTCTCCAGCTCTTCAACATCACTGTCCAAGTTTAAGAAAGTGGAAAGAAACTGTGGTGCAGTATTGATAATGTGAGTGGCAGATGCAATCTAGCAGGAAAGTGGGCTACTCCCCAGCTGGAATGCAGATCAGGCTTCACTTGATCCCTCCCTTAGCCAGAGAAAGGTGGTTTTTATCTATTTATTATGCATTTGCTTGTTTTATCAGCACTGATATATCTGCAAATACCATAGCACTGTTATAGTCTTTTACTACCCGTTTGCTATAAGCAGATATATTGGGACATGAAGCTGTTTTCAGTCATGCAGGTCTAATCCCAAGTAGTGCCCCAGGCTCTCGTGAACTGTTTCGGGTTTACACAGAAGTAAAGGACACTGTAACATGTCGTTTTTAAGAACCTGCCACCAGCTGTTTTAGGATTGGGTTTTTTAGGCAGCTGAATTTCTTTTCACTGATATTTAAGACAAAGCTATTTTGATGTGGTTATTGGAGAAGGAAAATTGAAAGGACAGATTCACAGAGAAGCTCATTAAAATGGAAACATTGGAATACGAGGGTAATTGGGCATTGATTCTGGCCTCACCCCCTCACTCACTTTACAAGCAATTTTGTATTAAAAGTAACATGTCTGCACGATGATGCTCCAACATCTGTTATTGCTGAAACAAAATGATTTGCTTGGGTTTTTTTTCCTCTTTCCACATTCTTCTAACATCTGCATGTGTAGATCTGTCCTGTATGTTAATCATAGCTAACACTCCTCCTTTCCAGGGAAAAGGCATCCAAGGGTATGGGATCCTATCTTCAGCAGGAGGGGAAGGCTTCTGTGTGGACGTTGTGTTGCTATCAGCTTCTGTTAGACATTGGGGTGGCTGGCTGTGACATGGAGTAACATGGGTGAGGACTCTGAGGGCTGCCAGCAGGAAGCCCTGCACAGCTGCATGTGCTCTGTGAAACAGAGAAGTTCACAAGCTCTGGCCTGTCTGTCCTCCAAAACCTTAGTGTCACCTCATGTGCTTCAAACTATGCAAATTTTCCTTATTCCAACTGCAGAAAGATTCTTGGGAAGAAGAAAAGGCTGACCAATAGGTTTGAAATAGTGTTTGGAAGTCTTTTCTGGTCTCCAGTTATCATAATGATAATTGTCTTTCAGTCTTCAAACTGCACTCTAGTTGGGAAGACACATGCTGAAATCCATTCCTACCCAGGGAAATGCTTGAGCTTACTTTTAACCATGTGCCTAAGTTATATTAGTTAAATGACTCATTAGTGTTTGCTTAAACCCTGTCCAGTGTTTGACTAAATGTATTTGAGCTGCAGTGTAAATACTGCAGTAAATAAGGGTGTCAGTTTTGGAATGAACTTATCGCTGGTTTTGACTTTTACAGTCATTTTTGTGATACACAGTTGGAATCAGAAGAGAATGGAAATTCTGACTAATTTTTGTAATATGCTGAAATGTATTAAGTTACACAAAGAATCCACATTGCGGTAATCCTGCCCGTACACAGGCAGAGAGCACCGGCGCGCGTGGCAGATGGCTTCAGAGGAAATCCTCGAGAGCTGGGATTAAAAAGCAATTTTCAGCAAGTTGAAAATGGGTCTCCATATTTGGGTCACAGATGTTAACTCTTGTTGCTCACAAATGAGGGACCAGTCTTGTTGGATTATTATGGGAATGTTGCTCTCCATAAAAGCTGACCAGCGTGTGCTGTGAAAGAGAAATGAGAATGTCGGTTGGTTCTGATCCTTTTCTAACATCAGTAGGAAGCAGAGTTGTGATGTGCAAGCACTGGTGTGTTGGGAGTAAATGGGATTCATCACTTGGCCAGCAAACATTGGCAACCCTTTAAAAATAATGTGTATATGGCTTCAGGTTTTGTCTGCCCACTGCAGCAAAGTGCCAGGAAGACAAACTTTCTGACAAGTAATCTCTGCTGTGTTAGCAGATTGATACCTGCTTACATCTAGTACGGTATAGTTAACTGCTGTTTATTAAAGTGTCAAGACTTCACATATAGCATTTTTATGTTACTTCTGGATACAGTGTGTCTGATACACAATAAATAAGATACTGAATGACAATACTTTTATTCAGTCCTAGGCAGGAATGAACGTCATCTCCAAGTTCTGCTTGGAAGTGTGTCTGCTCTTGGCACTGCAAAGCAGACCTGTGTTTCCTCAAACGTTTTTTAGGGGCACACTATAACTTGATTTTTTAAGTACTACGCAGACATTGTTCCAGGCTGCAGCTCTTTGGTGGTGGTTTTCCAACATCCAGGAATATTGCCATCAGTACAATGCATACAAGTGATGGAGTGCAGATCAGCTTTGTATTCTAAGAGCAAGAGAAGATACTGAGCTTTTAGGTGGTAAAAATAGCACAGCAAGTTGGAGATTATTTGCTTTAACTAACCTACACCAGCTAGTAAACATGTTAGGAATGTAACTCACATTTACATCCTTTATACACTGCCAGAAATGTACCAACCAGAAGTTTGACATGAACTAGCTTTTCTTCAAAGACTGTTCTACCTCCAAAGTAGAAATTCAAGTTAGACCTTAGGCAGTATTTATCACTAAACAATGATGTATAGCAGTGATACTGTTTTATTGTGTTCTCAAAACTCAGCTGGGTGTATTTTGAGTAGGTTTGGAAAGCTTTCTGAGCAAAGGTGCCTGATGCTTTGATAAGTGAATTACAGAAGTAATTGCTGGTTTGAATTTCAGCCTATGGAGAAGTTAATTGCATTGCTCTTTGGCTATTATACTGGCTACGTGTTAACAGCAAAGCACAAAGCACCTCTGAAAAGACATTGTAATGGCATAACTAACTGCAGGTACTTCTACTAAATGTTAATTAACAATGCTGAATAAGAGGTGTTTTCTGCAGGAGTGATCCAAGGCTGGTATTGGAGGTCCTATCTGCTATACAGAATATTCATATCATGGATGAAAATAATGTCATGCAGCTTCTGGTGTGCAGTTCTTGTACCAGTGCTTCAAAACTTCAGTAGATGCAGGACTGATCTGCCCTTCTAGGTCCTTGTTTTACATCACCTCCTATGGGAAGTTCACCTGTGTTGCAGATGGCTATTCCTCCACTCACTGAGCATTTGAAAAAGCTGGAGTTTCTCTTATGGAGTCAGTTATCTGGAGCATTTTGGGATGAGATTGCACCACTGTGGCAGTGGGAATGGAAAGCCAAGTAACCATCCAGGCCCATGACTTCTTAATTCTACTGAATTACTAGATGCCCTGATGTCAATAAACACTTTTTCCAAAGCAGTATTCTGCTCTGACAGATATGTAAATCTCTGAATTTGTCACTGCACAGAGCTCTGAACACTAGGAACTGTGGGTCTCCTTAAATGCTTCATTCTCTTCAGAAACTCAGGACAGGAAACACTGAAGGTTCAGTTCCACTGAGTGCTTTGGAATATCTCTCTACTTGTATCTTCTTATAGTGTAGAGTTATTAATATTTTTGCTGAGTAGATTACTAAAAGCAGTGACCTGTTCATATCAAGGCCATGAATTCAAGTTTAATATAACCAGCTAGACAAAAGTGCAAGTTTACAGACTGATAAATTGTGCTCTAGGTGGGCTTCTCTGCACTTCTTTATTGATGGTACTTTAAGTAGTGAGTTGAGGAGAAACAGATAATGAAAATTGATTCTTCTCTGCAGGTCTCTTGCTTACTGTTGGACTTGGACAGACGTAATCTGTGAAGATAATTGAAGTTCCTTTGCTGCGAATGCTGTAAGTGATTTCTTGTTTGTTTTCATGATAATCATTAGGAGCCCATTTGCCTCACACAGGGAAAAAAGGTGAAATGCCCCCCCCCCCATCCCAAACAAATGTTGTATGATGTCCATGTTTGCAGGAGAGATTTCTAACCAGCACTTTGTATTCAGGAACACCCCTGTCTCTCTTCCAGCCATGCTGATAAATGAAGTAGCAGAAACCTAATTGCAAACTGCCAGTAAAGATACCAGAGGAAACAACATTTCCATACTTCTGTCAGGACAGCAGTTAGATTAGGAATCTTAGCATGATGGAGGGAATCTGCTCTTGCTGCGTGTATTGTATTTGGTTGAGAATAAACACCTGAAGTGTCAGTATAGTATCTTAACCAGGTATCATGTAGAGGAGTTGGAGGGGCCATAAAACTTGGAAGGAAACATTTTCCTGTTGGTAATGACAAAGGGTGGTGGCCTTGGCTGTTATTTAGCATAACAGTTGTTTGAATTTCAGGTGCCACGATAACATAGCAAGAGGCTTAGAATATGTCTTTAATGTTTGATAGATTTCTCACAGGAGCAGACTTGCATGCTTTAAACCCTGTGAATATAGGAGCATGGATGCTGGAGCATCTGGAATTATACCCCCTGTGGATCGTGGAAGCCAGCAATTGTATCTGGTAGGCTACTGCAGGGAGGCAGGAACAGAATGCCAGGTGTGTTACCTTGTTTCAGCATCCCTTTAGTATCCATAGGACACCATGCTCTGCTGAAGCTATGATTAATAGTTATGTGTATTGCTAACAACACATTTCTTATTTCTACGGGAGTGTCTTTAAAACAGTTGATATCCTTGCAGTAATGAAAACACACAAAGAGCTCTTCATACCTCCATTTTCCCCCCAAAGCTGTGGGAAGAGTTTTCTGGCTTGTAGAACAAAGAAGTTAGAGGAGATTACACAGCCAACATCTGCACCTGGCTCACTCACCAAGTGAGTCTTTGGCATAGCAGCTAAAGTACCTTCTGCCAAGAGAGCCTTGCCCATGCAGTTGTTCAGGGATGAAGATGTGATAATGTCTTTCCCTTTTTGGTTCACCAGAGCTATTTTGCTTGATTTGTCAAAGTCAAAATTTGGTTGGAAAGAAATTAAAAGTAAAAAGATATTTTATCAGAGGTTGATTAATGTTTAATGAAACTTTTTCTAACCAGCCATGTTAAGATTATGGTGGTGTATCACTTCGGTTCCAATGGCAGACACATCACATATGGGTTGCCATTTTGATGGCTTTCAGTGGTAATCTGACCCATAAAAAACTGAGGCATAATATGCAAACTGATTTTTTTTCTGGCCTGCCCAATTCTTGATGCCATCTGTGTGAGGATGGAAATGAGCCTGCTCAGAATGTGGTCTGCCAGCTTTAAGCAGAGTGGTAGTGCCAATCACAGATGGATTTGAAAGAATAGCCTCGTGAACAAGAAGAGGAGGAAGATTCTTCTGAGAGCAGGAAGTATCACTTGAAAGCATATGTGTGTTAAATCCTGTGGCCTATGGAACATTCATCAGACTTCTCTGTGGGTGCTTCACACAGATTAAGTAAACTAAACTTACTTTCTAAAAATCAAGAAAACACCCTCAACTTCCAAACATTGCTCTCCCTCCCACCACTGCCTTCCACTGCTGTCATCCATCATGGGATACAGTGCAGGAAGCTGACAATGTCTGATCCTGTGAAGTATCTGCAGAGTGGATCCATTCAGCAAAGCCAAGCACAGTAAATTGTTTCATAAGTTTTGTAGATCTGTGGGGTTTTATCTGCTGTATGAATCCTGTTGCACTCAGAGCCCTGGTCTGCCATTTCTGAGTTCCTGCCTCCCCCAGTTAACAAAACCCCATGCTGTAGGTGAAGGTGAGTGCTATTGGCTGCTGCTCAGCTCATAATGAAGATACTTAAGCACCTCATTTTCACTGTAGTCAATGAGATCTCAGTTCTCTGCTACTCAATTTGAGAGTCTGGCTCTGAAGTTAGAGATTGAATGACCTTGTCTTTTGTGTAACCACAAGTGTCTTGGTACTATTTATAATCCAAAGAAACACATTAAATGATTTTCACTGGTTAGGAATATGGTCTGCAGAAATAACTGGGGTTTTTTAATCTCTTTAAATCGATTGCATTGTTTGAACAACCATTTGCTTTGCAGTAAGGAGCATGTAAAAGAAAGGTAACCATCGATGAATTTCATGTTTGTGACACTTGAACATCTTTCTCAAGTCCTCTTCAAGCCTTTTATTTTCAGGCTAAATAAACACCAATTTCAGCAATGTCTCATCTACTCCCTTTAATTACTGCTGTTGAGAGAAAGTTTCTGCCAATGCAAATGTGCTATTTTGTCATGTCACATCAAACGGCATCAGCCTTATATTTAGGAACAAAAAGAGGGGGAGGCTGAGACAGGATGTGGCTACAAATGGAGCTAAAGGGTTTTCTTAAATATAGGCTGAAAATAGACAATTGAGGCAGTGATGCTTTTTCCAGCAAAAATCCATGAAAGGGAAAATCAAGTCTGTGACGACAGAAGTGAAAAGCAGAGCTGGGGTGTGAAAGAGGGAGCTCTGGATGGAGGCGTGGGCTAGTGGCAGGAAGCAGCTGATGAACTCCTCATTTACGCAGGCACCCTTTGCATTGTCAGGCTGGTGTGAAGTGGTTTTAGAGACCACATGCATCTCCTCTTGTTCCTTTGGTGCTGGCTAAAATGTTACTAGCTGGGTTTTCCTCCAGCTTGTGGCAGGACGTGCTGCTGCCCTCTCCTTTGTGGTCATCTCCCCTTCAGGTGGATTGCTTCCTGAGTGGAATTACTTTGATCGAAGAAAGAATTAATGCCTAGTCTTTGTTAATTTGGATCTCAGCTTAGCCCAGTCACTTGCAGGAGTTGTCTGAAACCCCATATAGCTTTATTCAGCCATCCAGGTTGCTGGAAAACAAGTTTCTGTGGTGTAATAGAAATGTGCTGATTTACACAAGGCATGAATTTGGACTAGAGACTGGAACATTGCCTCAGTGGCATTGCCTGGAGCAACTTCCTCCAAATGGAGTCTCAGTACAGGTACAATACCAGTACTGCAGATCCTTATGTTGGACATAAATTCATCTATGGCAATATTTACCATTTCAGTTTATTTCTTTTAACTACTTCCAGCAATAACTGTCAGCTCCTAAACTAAAGCTAGTTTCTGATAAATATGCATAGAGAAAACTTGCAGTAGCTGTCCAAATAAATGTAGGAGACTTCAAACAATCCATCACACTAAATTAACTTCAAAATGTGTCTCTTCACAAATCATAGTTTAAACAAGTTGTTCTTGAGGAAAGTCAGTTTGGTTCTTTAGGAAATGTTACCAGCTTCCCTATGGAAAACACTTTTTGCGCTCTCTGAACTGGGCAGAAAAAGATCTATTGAAATCAAATGCATAAATTATGCATGTAATATGGCCTGCTTTGAAATAATGAGTCTGATCAGAGCCTGATGGCAATTAAAACTAGTTCTGAAAGATCAGCTGCATTTGAGAGTCATCAGAACTCATGCGGATGTGAGCTGTGGGCATGGCAGCAGCACCTACTTAGCAAATTAGAGAAATACGGTTCATTTCTTACAGCTTTTCTCACAGCTACATGTCTCTGCTCACACGGCATGGGTGATGTTAGAAGTAATATTTTTATTCTTGTCACAAGGATGATGACAAATGCAGTGGAAGCTCAGAAGCTTGTGTATTTACAGCATTATGACAAATGTAAGTCAAGTAGCATCTCAGACTGAAGCTAGGCAGGCAAAGGCACCCAGCCCTTCAGGGCTAGATACTATCGGTCCTCCAGGACTGTAAAATGTTAAATATAGTGATGCTGTAATCTAACTCTTAAGTTTTGAATTCTTTACAACAGGAAAATAACAACCCGTGGTGCTAAATCCATGTACATGATGAAGCTTGATGGAAACAAGGTAATGGAAGATTTATTATAAATGGGAGTGTAAGAGTCTTGGTGTGCTTCCTCCAGGAGTGGAGGGAGGAGCTGCGAGTGTCCTGTAGCAACTCTGGTGATACTTAAGGCGTTAATTTACGTAGAATTTACTTTTCTTTTTCAGTTTAATCCACTTCCCAAGACTTGAGACAATCACAACTGATTCTTTCCTCCAGTGACTTTATTTAGTGCATGAGAATTAAAAATACCTCAGTAAAATGTGTGATTTCATAGCAAGGAATTCATTTGTTACACCACTTCAAAGCAAATCACAGAAGTATTAAATGGGGAAGGAGAAAGATAGGTGTTTGTTTTTATAGATGGGATTTGTTTGTTTTGAACTGAATAAGTCTGAAAATACTGGATAAAAACTGCAGATCAAATGAAAAGCCTCCATAAGTGCTCTGCAGCTTGTTCATCAAAAACCCACCCAACTGACAACACCACAACAAGAAAATGTTCTTAATTAATGTCTTCAGTTAAAGGAGAAGCATTGTGGAGCTCTTAAATATATTATTAAATCTGTATTGTTTAGATAATAGGATGGGGAAAGACACTTATGCTGAGTGCTGTGTCAAATCCGTCAGGGCATGTTTTAATTCTAGTTCACTTGCTGGATTTCACAGCTATTTGTCTGGGTGTGGGGGTAATTTGGTGGGTTGAGTGAAGCCAGATGACTGTAATGAACTCATTCTGTGTCTTTGACTCAAGCTGGCAAAAAAAAGATGCTATTTAGGGGGTATTTTGTATTGTTCAGACTTCTGTTCCTCCTGTCTCTCAAACTTTCTCTAGGCCGCTGTCTTTGCGCCATCACCAATAATTACATCAAATTAATTCAGCATAATTGAGTTAATTATTAGCACTGAGGTTAACAACATGCCTTCAACTGAACCAGAGCTTTTCATCCCCCCTTTCCTGAGGTTCACAAAATGTAAACAGATCTGAATCATGGGTGAAAGCTGAGGCAGCTCCACTTCCATCAAGTGCTTTTGCCAGTCAGAACTG